CTGGTCCCGGGAAGAGGCGGAGGGTTGTGTAGCAGCGGGTGGCTGGTTCGTGCCATGCCAGGTGCAGTGTCTGCTGGCTGGTTGCTGGCAGGCTTGCACCTGGCACGGGCACCGTAGCCAGCCCGTGCCCCTTTAAGAGGTCCGGGGCCGGGACGGGGGCAAGAGTTTCCCTGGTGTTGGCCAGAGTGGCCACCAGGGAAAGCTGGGGAGGGCTAGCCTCCCACTAGTTTGAATTAAGGGGCTACACACCCCTTAATTCGAACTAGTAAGTTCAAACTAGGCGCTAGTGTAGCGCCTATCAAAGTTAATTCGAACTAACGTCCGTTAGTTCGAATTAAGTTTGTAGTGTAGACATACCCATAGAGTCTGTATGTTGCATGCCCTTTGTACAGGTATAAAATGCAGTGTAAAAGTGAGAAGCTGCTTAGGCTAGTAGAGTAAAGGTATGCCTGAACACTGTGAATTACTTCCATAGCTCTCTACATGCTCTAGCAGCATCTCTCCTGCCTACTCCTACCAGTGTAATATCCCCCGCACTCCGAGCTGGAGCCTTTCCCTGCCCCAGGGAGCAGCCGGAGCTTTCCCCACAGCATTGCCCCTGCCAGCAGGGTTGCCAGCTTTCTAATTGTAAAAACCAAACACCCCTCCCTTACCCCTTCTCTAATGCCCTGCCCCTACCCTTCTTCAAGCCCTCCCCCATACCCTCTCCATTCCCCCTCCCTCCATCACTCACTCTCACCTCCACACTCACTTTCCCAGTACTGGAGCAAGGAGGTGGGGTGCGGGAGTAGGTGAAGGCTTCAGCTGGGGAGGCAGGCTCTGGGGTGGGTCCAGAAATGAGAGAGGGTCACAGTCTGGGAGGGGCCTCTAAGCTCCAGCTAGCTCTTGGGTGGGGCTGGAGATGAGGGGTTTCAGGTGCTGGAGGGTACGCAGGGCTGGGGTAGAGGGCTGGGGTGCCAGATGGGGGAGCAGGCTTCCGGAGGGTGTTAGGGTATAGGAGGGAGCTCAAGGCTGGGACAGAGGGTTGGGGTGCCAACAGATCCCCAACTGGCAGTGCAGGGGGGCTAAGGCTGCATCCCTGCTTGTCCTAGCTCCATGTTGCTCTCCGTCTCCTAGGCCCAGGGGCAGCCAGGGGGTTTGAGTGCTGCTCTCTGTCGTAGGTGCTGCCCATGTAGCTCCCACTGGCTGCAGTTCACAGTCAATGGAGCTGAGGAGTCAGCGCTTGGGGTGGTGGAAGCGCACAGAGCTGCTCAGCTACCCCTGCCCCTAGGAGCTGGACATGCTGGCTACTTCTTGGAGCTGTGTGGAGCCAGGGCAGGCAGGAAGCCTTGCTGCACCACTGACTGGACTTTTAATGACTTGTCACTGGTGCTGCCAGGGACCCTTTTTGAACGGGCACTCTGGTCAAAAACTCGACACCTGGCAACCCTATCTACACACATCCTACCTGACACACTAGTGGTGTGCAGTGTCAGCACAGCCATAGCATATCACCTTTTGAGGAAGCACTTAAAAAGCTGGAGTTATAAAAAAGGACTTCATTGTTTTACAAATGATATTTGATTTAAGTCACATTACTCAATTATTATTTAGACAGTATATTCCCTGAACTTATATTTTTCCAAAACAAAAGGAAAAACTATGTAGCGCTTTAAAGACTAACAAGATGGTTTAATAGGTGATGAGCTTTTTGTGGGCCAGACCCACTTCCTCAGATCATATTCAGAAAGAGAATTGGCATGATCATATATACCAAAGGTATACAATGAAAATGTGTAAGGTAATTAGCATCTTTGTTAAGTTAAGACCCATTCGTAAAGTGTCAAATTTAAGCATGAATGAAAGTTCTGAAGTTTCTCTCTGTAATCTGATGTTAAAGTCTCTTTGAAGTAAGATGCATGTAATAAGGTCGTTAAGACTATGTCCAGGTAGGTTGAAATGCAAACTGGCAGGTTTTTCCTTGTGAAGATGTCTGATTTGTGGGCATTAATTCTTTGGTGAAGTGTGAGAGGGGACAGACCCATACTCTCCTATAGACAACCACCTAACCTCAGGAAGATTCTTACCAACCACCACAGGTCATACCACATTAATACCAACCCTAGAACTTTCCCTTGCAACAAACCCTGTTGCCAACTTTGTCCACATATTTACTCTGGTGACACCATCACTGGACCTAACCAAATCAGTTATACGATCAAGGACACATATTCCTGCTCATCCAGAAATACAATTTATGCCATTATGTGCCAACAGAGTCCTTCTGCTATGTATATTGGACAGACTCTCAGACACTTTGCCAAAGAATTAATGCCCACAAATCAGACATCAAGACATCTTCACAAGGAAAAATCTGTCAGTTTGCATTTCAGCCTACCTGGACATAGTCAGAACTTTCATTCATGCTTAAATTTGATACTTTACGAATGGGCCTTTACAAAGATGCTAATTATCTTACACATTATAAAGACAGCTTCCCCACTTAACACCCCTGATTGACTTATAAATAGCTATTCCCTCCCTCCCTCTCCCTCGCCCCACATTCTGTTCTAAATCTGATTTGTCAGTTTAATAATGTCTTCACTTTTTTCATTGTATTCCTTTGGTATATATGGTCATGCCAATTCTCTTTCAGAATATGAGCTGAGGAAGTGGGTCTGGCCCATGAAAGCTCATCATTTATTAAACCATCTTGTTAGTCTTCAAAGCGCTATATAGTTTTTCCCTTTGTTTTTGCAACATCAGACGAACACGGCTACCTCTCTACTTATATTTTTCCAATGAATGATGCTGTTCTTTTATCTTGGGGAGGGAGATCTTTAAAATAGCTCACCTGTCACTCATGCTGATGTTTATTATCTTTGGTATGCCATCTGTATTTAGGAGAAGCCGTGCATTCTGGGAACTGTTATGGGTCAGGTTGTACAAGGTGTAGCAGGTAGAAGCTGTGGTCTCACTGGTAACATCTGACCCTGGGACAGAGTCAGGAAGTATGGAGACCAAATCTGATAAGACGTTTCTGGCTAGAGGATGAAAGGGAAACAAGGAATTCAGTTACAAATATACCATAAGTTCTGCTTTGTACACGTAACACATTAACACCAGATTTACTCTACCTATGTTACTGGATGTCCACTAGCAGGTGGGCTGTTACTTCAGAAGAAAGTTCATGATTGTATTTTATATTTAATTGTGGGTATAATAATGTCTATCTGTAAATATTGTTGGGCTGATATTTCCTCCCTATAGTATATTTTGAAAACGGCCCCCTCCCCGCCCAGTCTGAGACAGATTAATATAAATTATATTTTGCTCCAACCCATCTAAACAGGGGTCATTTCACTAACACTTATAAAATGTTTTTGGACTGATTATAAAAAAATTATGTTAGTGTATCAATTCTGCGCTATGAGATATACATTATGGGCCTGATCACATGAGCATTTTGAACTCCAATTCAAGGCCTTGAGTTAAGAATGTGTATAAACCAATCCCAGTTCAGAAAAGCAACTAAGCATGGGCTGAATATCAAATATACTTAAAGTTATGCAAGTGCTGAAGTACCTTTCAGAAAAATGCTTGAAACCAAATTCTGACTTGAGAACAAAACAGTGGGAATTCTGGGTACTCGGTACTTATTAAGATATGCACAGCAATATGCAGAATGGATCCCTACAATAGAATATGCTTAAGATATTGAGTTAAATGATTCACTGGGCTGCATTGGTAAAGTGGGCGGGGAGTCTCTTGCATCCATACATCAAATCATGTTTATTACTTTAGTGCTTCACTTAGTCTCAGTACTTGAGGACTGGACCCCACTGTGCTAGGTACTGAGTAAACACAGAGTAGCAGATGATCTCTGTCCGAAAAGCTTCTGATCCAAATAGACAAGAGACAAAGGATGGGGAAAGGGATAGAACACACATGTAGCACAAACAACAGCTTGATTCTAAACACACATGCATAGATGTGACCTAGTGTTATTCTACTGTGCCACTGTAAGAATGCTCGTATAGATGCATTATGTCAATGGGAGAGAGCTCTCCCATCAACATAATAAAACCAGCTCAACAAGTGGCAGTAGCTATATCTCCCTCTGACATAGTGCTATGCATGCTACCACTTTTGCCAGCAAAACTTACTCCCTCCAGGTATGTCTTTTCACACCCTTGAACAATGTTCCTGCTAATCTTTTCCATCTATGTGTGGATGTTTTCCATCTATGTGTGGTATATTTTTTTCATGCGCACCAATAGAAATAAAAAACCTAGCTGTGAGTGCTCTGCTAATCATGTGGGTGGCATCTGAATTTCTTTTAAGTGGCTGCACAAGTGCCTAGCTTATAGGGAACAGTGCTTCTGAATGACAAAAGTTTTGCCAGCAGACATGCCAGTGTAGACAAGGCCTTACAGTAGTGCCAGTGGGTAAAGGCCACAATGAGAATATTTGGCAACATAACAGTGACCTTGACAGCTACTGGCTACATTCAAAGTGCCAAATATAGGGGTTAATTACTCCATAGTAAACCTGTGAGAGTATGAATTGCTTTAAATACAAAACTATCTTCCCTCTCCAAAACTCCAAAAAGTTCTTTCCTTTAACCTTTTCTGAAAAGATACCGATGAGAAAAACATAATACCGTTATTCAGAGAGAATCTGAGCTTATGGTCCTCACTTGGACAAAACCTATATTTCAGCCAATGGGAGCTCTACCCGAAAAAAGACTGCAAGCATTGGGCCCTAACTCTGTTAAATTCACAAATCAAATCTTTTCTTAAAAAGAAAGAAAGAAAATAGAATAGAAGGAAAACTGAAAATAAAGGAGAGACAGAGAGAAAATCTGAAAGAAAACATTACCCCTTTGCTCACCTATTTCACTCTGCAGAGAGGCATTGCGAGACAAGTTCCGGAGCAATGAAACAGCTGTCTTCCTTACATTTGGATTGCTTACATGCAGCATGTATCGAATATTCTGAAGGCCATTTGCCTTCTGGACCACAGTATAAGCTGCTGAAAACGGCATCTGTCATAAGGCAGACAACTTTAATGAGCCACTGTTACGACTGTACAGCTGTGTAAACAACCATCACATTAAGTTCTCATTTTTTTTAAAAACGAGTAATTCTGTGACACCTTAGGGTATGTCTACAGTAGCCACCCTAGTTCGAACTAGGGTGGCTAATGTAGTAATTCAAACTTACAAATGAAGCCCAGGATTAAAATATCCCGGGCTTTATTTGCATGTTCCTGGGCGCCACCATTTTTAAATGCCCCATACTTCGGACTCCCTGCCTATGGCTACACGCGGCACGGGCTAGGTAGTTCGAACTAAAGCCCCTAATTCGGACTACCGTTACTCCTCCAGCAATGAAGGAGGGTAAAAAGGGGGACTCTCTGAATTTATAACAGAAAAAGAAGGGATGGGGGAAACACCACAAAACCAAACCTGTCAATTGTAGTGCTGGTGCTAATGAAGCTAACTGAGTTGGTTGGAAGCATCCCACACTTAGCTTTTGATATCAATGATGTGTTAAATGTGAGGGAAGCTGGTTTTATAATGGGCCATCCCGTTCATGTTTTTAAAAGCACAGGTGATGCAGTAACGTGGTACCCTATAGGGATGTAAAAGCCTGACTAATTCATTACTGGTGAAACATGTTGGTTAACTAGTTAAACTATTAAAGGAGAGTGGGCTGGAGGAGAGGGGGAGAAAAGGTACTAGCCCAGGGAGCAGCCCCTGCCTGTGATGCACCCAGGTCCACCATGGACAGGGGCTGGTCCAGGTGACTGGTGCAACCCCTATCCACAGCGGGCCCCCACGGGGCTGGAGCAACCCTCTCCCCATGGTGGGTGGAGAGCTACTCCAGCTCCCACCGGTTAACCTTTCACATCCCAAGTAACCTATTGATCATTTTCAGGAATGTTTGTGATATTAGCCCAGATCATGAACTATGTGGAAGCTAGGAATGGAGAGATGGGTGATGCAATTGCAGCTCTAAATCCCTTTTGCACCACCAAATCCTGGGATTGTTTGGCTAGTCAGTGGCATACACTAGAAAAGTGTCAACTGATGACACATTAGAAATACTGTGGCTATGCGTGTGCCAGAGGGAGTTCTTTGCTCCTTGAGGAGCTTCATAAAGTAATAATTATATTATTAGAAGAAGGTCCCTTCCAGTCCTAGTACACTAGTATTCTATGATATCAATACTATATACTCCCATGTCTTCATCCCCATCCCAACTAATTAGCCTTTTACATAGAAAGAGGAACATACAGAGAAGGAACTGCCCCTTAATGTGCCAAGAAGAAAATGTTCACAATTCTGAGCCTGGACCTCCTCATGTCCATGTTTCAAGTTTCACTCTCACTGACCAACTTATGAACTTGCAACTTCAAAATAGGGGTCTGAGTTGAAAGCTGTAAATATTTCACATTTCGGCCCTAGTCTCCACATATCTAAAATTAAAGAAAAAAAAACCCCATGAAGCATGAAACAGGATAACTTACTGGTCCACTACCTGCGGTGAGGTTCTGGAGAGCTCCCAAAGATGCCTCTTGGGTGAAGTCTCTTGTACTTTTTGCTATTAAGGAGAGATATATCCTAATAAGTGTGGAATGCCAGAGTGATTCTACACCTTTGGGATTGCTCTTTTCCTCACGTAGCAGAATATCTTGTTGCTTCTAAACATGTAAAACAGATCAAACCTTTAGAACTGGAGAATGTAGATGACGCAGTGCATCACAATCTAAAGCATGCATTCTGTAACCGTAGCCTGATTTTGCTTTTATTTTTACTGGTGTCAATCAGGAGTAACCCCTCATGGAAGTCAAGAGAATTAAATGAGTGCAAAAATGGTATAAAAACAGAATCAAGTCAACCGCGTGGCTCTTCAGACTCCCAGATATGACAGACTAAAATATTTTGTGGGCTCAAACAATGGTTTATAAAAGGTAAGTATTTAAAATATTGGGACATCAGACGTAATACTAACAACAGTGCCGCACAAACCTACGTGCTTCTAGTGAAGCGTTATTCATTTTGAAATGAGATTGGTTGGTTCACACTGATAAACAAGTTGTTAACCGCAAAGGACTACAGGTTTATTGCAGCTATCATCAGATCACCATTCACCAGCATCCATGCTAGAACTACCGAAAAATTCAAAGTATAATAAATTCACACATTACCACTTTCACTTTCTTGCTGCGTGTTCCAAAGCAACCCATGCTTTTATCATTGGTAGGAGAATTTCTTCTTTGCATATAAATGTTTTGGCTGTAACTGCCAGGAAGCTCTGACTCTAGCTGGTAGGAGAGGTTATGCAGGATGCACACGCAGTTTTCTGTGGCCTAAAATAATGAAGAAGTAAATGCCATTATAGCTTTGCATGTGTTGGAGACGATATAGGCAGAAGGTTTGATTCAGGATCTTACATGGCTAACCTTTGCATTCCTGGTCACCTAGGGTATGTCTAGACTACATGCCTCTGCCGGCAGAGGCATGTAAATTAGACTACCCGACATAGTCAATGAAGCGGGGATTTAAATATCCCCTGCTTCATTACAATAAAAATGGCCACCGCGCTGTGCTGGCTCAGCTGATCGTCGGCACAATGTGGCAGTCAAAACGCGGATCGGTCGTCAAGGAAAGCCTTTGCCAACTGATCCTGTAAACCTCATTGCACGAGGCATAAAGGATCGGTCGGCAAAGGCTTTCCTCGTCGACCGATCCGTGTCTTGACTGCCGCGTTGTGCTGATGATCAGCTGAGCCAGCACAGTGTGGCAGCCATTTTTATTTTAATGAAATGGGGGATATTTAAATTCCTGCTTCATTGACTATGTCAGGTAGTCTAATTTACATGCCTTTGCCGGTAGAGGCATGTAGTCTAGACATACCCCTATAGAAGAACTAAACAATAGTGATTAGGCCATCAAAAGCCATGGGGTGCTTTTAAATTCCCACTACGTACCTATTTACACCTTTAGATGTCTAAAGACATTTAATATCTACCTCTAAATCCCTTTTATAAATATGGGGCACTTGATTATACTCACTGAACGATTTTTGAAAATTGTACTCTTTGTACTCTGTGTGTTATCCTCATAAGACGCAATAATAAACCCCTCCATGAAAAAAGTCTTATCTGACATTTCATCTCTGCTTAGTGAAAATGTGATGTTCCTTCACAAACATTTCCATCTGTCTCTAAGAAGTGAATGGTTTGGTTGTTTTTTCCTCCCAGTTAGTCTTGGTGCAGAATCCTTTGATTCTGAAGAAGTACCTTGTCATCAGGCTGGTGGTCTGCAGTGGTTCCTTGGATGTAATACACAAGAGAATCAATCAATCCATCACATTCTCTCATCTTTTTCCTTCCTTCTGGTCCAGCAGAACTCAAGTTTCTGTCCAGAACAGAATACATTGGTAAGAAGAGATTTATTTGTAAGGTCACTTTTTTTGTATCCCTTTTACCCTTTGGCCCAACAGTAGAAAAGATACTGACACTGTGGGGCTATGATTGGACTCCTCTGCTAGGTGTCACCAGACACTGGATAATCAAAAAAGTCATCAAGTAACAAAACATGGCTTCTAATTAAAGTTGTCATCTAAACCACACAATATTACATACTGCAGAGGGACAGATGCATCTATTTGTATAGAATAAGACCTGCATCAAACCTCCCACCCAGAAACTGAACCAACCCCTTTACCATGACCACTCATCTATAGTTATACGTGATAAGAAATTCTGCAACATCTGTACAAACTTAGGTGTTATAATGGAAAGCCACTCCTTTCCCCACACCTAGCATTTTAACTACTTATTCCCCAATTCCATAACTCATCATAAGACAACTCCGCACACTTGTTTAGCTCATTGCAATTTAAAGTCTTAGTTATGAGGCCAAATTCAAGTAGCCTCTTTACTGATTTAAAAAAAAATCCTTCTAATAGAATTTAATAGACAACTATATTCCAGCAACAGAATCTATTAGGCTGATTTAAAAAAATTTATAGAATTGAAAAGAGGATTCTACAAATCACTTCAAACCCCATTAGCTTTGCTCTTACTTATATTCTCTTTTCTATGTGTTTGTACAACACTAGTATCCAAAGAGGCACCAACTTAGTTGGTATGTACATGCTACTGCACTATAAACTGTAAATATTGACGTTAGCACTTTTCCATAGAGGCATCCCTTTGGAGCTGAACCCCAATTAGGAGTTTGTTTTTCAAATTCACTTTTAGAGTTAATTTTTATATTGTATTTCCTCCTTCCCCAGCCCCTCTCTCTGCTTCTTCGTGGCTAAAAGCAGAGATCAGGAGTGGTGGTGGGAGTCCATACTCTGTTCTACCAGGTTCAAAGTCTCAGCTTCAAAACGGCAAGAGTGAACTTTTTCCGACTGCTCTTCACCTCACTTGCTGAGCAAAGGCGAACCAGAGATTAATTCTGCTGCAGAAGCAACTTCCCCAATTTGGCGAGTGTTGAAGGGAAGCCCACAGCTTCTGTGAGTGTAAGGGAGAGCTTAGCCCAGGAGGGCAAAAGGCCCAGAGTTTGCTTACAGCAGCAGTGATAGGAATGGCACAAGGGAACAGGAAGTGGGCCTTCCCTGGAGTTGCTTTGGAGATGAGTCACTTTTGCTGCTGCTGCTGCATGCAAAAAGGAAGCATGAGATTAGGCTTTTGCTAGACCCAATGGGAAGGCTCCCTTTACTCCTCTATAGTTCCCACAGCAGTGCTATGAAGAACTGTTGGACTGGTCAGTGGTGAAGTGCATTCTCCTTGCTGGCCTTTTCTCCTCTGCTTTTTGACCACCTGATGAATTTGAAGGCTTATCAGCTATCAATATTTAGTTCCCCTTCGCTCTCATAGGCAAAAGAGAGGTGGGGGATATTTACACTCACTTGCTTTAGTCTCCCCAGTATAGGAACATAACCTCGATTCCCTGTTTGCTTCAAGGTCCCTTTATATAAACGGGGCTTAAAGGCAGCAAGTGGGTGTCTCCACCCCAGGGCATGCCCTCTGTGTAAGGGGCTTTGCTTATAAGGAAACTTTACACTGGCCTCCCTTGCTATTGACAGAGAAAGGTAGAGGAGAGACAGGGGACATGGTTTCCCTGCTTCCTATGGCCCAGCGAAGACTAGTGGGAGTTGGACTCTCAGTTAGTCAAGCCCAGAGGTCTCCTGAAGAGTCCCAGAAGAGAGGAGGTGCAAAGGCAATGTAACATCACCTTTCCCTTCTGTCCCAATTCCAGCGCAGAGTACTCCTGAATCTATGCTGCACAATTTCATCTGCCTCATAGACCCACAAGGAACAACTGTCCGTCCCAGCTTCCAACCAGAAGATCTGTGGTTTGTGAGAGATAATCTTAACACGAACTATGAAAGTGAGTTAAAACCCCCAAAAACTCCCACTGGAAGCTGAGCCCCAAATGAGCTACCAATTTATGGAGAGAGCCAGGAGGCCAAAACATTTATTCTATAACTGAATGTGATCTGAATTTCAGACATCAGACATCTAAGCCTCACTATTTAGGCCTCAGGCAATTCTGCTGGTGAAAGGGACTGGACTCTTCACCACATTTCAGATTCTTTGTTGGAAAAGAGTATAAAATGCAGCCTGAAGATCAGTCATCAAAAATAAAGCAGCAACATTTCCCTTTAAATGACTCACACACAGCAAATATATCACAAAAGTTTAATACAACCAGATGGCAAATTACATTGGTTTACAATTATTAATGCCATAAAGCTGATGAGCTACCACAAAGCTCCCTGGTGTTTATACATGGTAGAACAAACAGATGTGGTGTTTTATATGTTGCCAATGCAGCACTCATGCTTTTTTGCCTCTAGTGGTATTCAGGCAATTTAAACAAGGATATGCGGTAACTGCAATTTTCTTTTAGGTCACACTTTATTAGCAGTATCCATTAAATCTGAGTTCATTCATTCTTGTGTGAAAGGATATGGAGCAGAATGAATGCATTTGGAAACCAAGCTTATTCACATGAACTTCCATCCATGTTGCTTTGCAATTTAGTTTTCCTTTGACACAACACACTTGAAATAAGTCATCCTTTTTGGTTATGTTGACAGAGAGGGAGACAGAGAGAGAATTGTATGTAACAGCCTTGTGTGTGCATATCAAAAATAGTTCACTAGCATGTAAGAGTTAAAACTATAATGAATGATAAGTATGGAATTTCCATTACCAGCAAAGACATACCAGCTGATACGGAATTGTGCTATGCCACAGCATGCTAGTTTAAAATCACTGTACACAAAACAGGCTAATGTGTGAATTTTTGATAGCAGCAGCCATAGTGCTTGGATCTAGAACAGTGCCAAATCTTACAAAGGCTGGAGTGCAGCCTTACAATGTGCTATAAGTCAAGGGTGTCACATGACTTCACCGCCCCAGGAGAACAGATTATGCTTCATCTCATAAAGATGTTTCTGGAAAACCAACTAATTATTCTTTGTAAAAACAGGTTTGGATCCTGAGATGGGAAGGGCATATTAGAGCAAATGATTTACTAGAACATAAAACAAGGACAGATTTTGAAAGAAAAGAATACTGCATAATACAGCCACTCCCCAAGTTACAACCATCCGACTTATGGACAGCCACACATGCAAACATAAGCTCACCTGCAGTCTCAGAGGAGCAGGCAAGAGGCACAGGTGATGGAACAGTGCAAGTGCTGGCCTGAGGACTCCAAAGGAGCCGAGGGCAGTAAGAAGCCAGCAGCTGGAGAGAAGTGGCGCTTCGAAGGGGAAACTACCGCTTCTCTCCTGCCACTGGCTGACCTCTGCTCCTCTAGCCCATGCTTGTGCTGCTTGTCACCTTCTGGTGAGCGGGGACTGGGTGCAGCTGATGGGGAGCGAGGGTGGGGAGAGCAGAGACTGGGGATGGGGCTGCCAGAGCTGGTGCTGAGCCTGTGGAGGGTGGTGTGGTCAGGGGATGGGGATGGCTGCAGGAGCAGAGCCCATGGGGGGATGCCCAGAAGTTCCCATCAGAATCTCCACTTGCCTCCTCATCCTCCTCTCATTAAACCTGCCTTTCCTCAAGCATCACTATTAAAAAAAGTCAACTAAAAAACTGTTTCTACCAGTTTCCATTGCAAATATACAGAATTTCAGCTAGGGATGTTAAATTCAGATTAACTGGCTAATCAAATAGTCGATGCAATTTGCATTGACTATTCGATTAGTTGATAAGCCTCAGCCTTTGAACCACAGCAACTGCCCCCAGGGATGTTGATACACTTCAAAGGTGAAAGTGCTGTGGGGAGCATGGGGCCAGCAGGGGAACTCAAGCAAACCCCCGCTGTCCCCGTGCTTCCCATGGCATTTCAAAGTGGCAGTGCTGCATGGAGCTCGAGGTCAGCAGGGGAGTCCCCACCTGACCCCGGCTGCACGTGGTGTTTCAAAGCGACAGCGCCGTGTGGAGCCTGGGCACTGTCACTTTGAAGTACCCTATTTTCTTAACTCCTCTTTGCTGCCTTTTTCTGATAGAAGCAGGCAGGGGGGGAGGGAGATGGGGGAGAAGGAGCAACTAGTTGACTAGCATGTCAACTATCCGATAAGCATTTGCTAGTCGTTCACATCCCTAATTTCAGCTACTTTATGGGTTAAATAGGCTTTTGTGGGCTACCGTGGGAAACAAACTACCATTTATAACATTGTTGCTATGGGATAATGTTTTTTGTTGTCCCAAACAACTGACTGACAAACTTTTGGAACACAAACCATTTGTAAGTAGGGGACTTCCTGTACAGTAATTCCTCATTTAACACGTGCCCACTTAACACGTTTTTTGCGATAGCACGATTTTGTTTTTTTTAGGGAACATTTTTTGAATTACACAACCACCCCCGGAATAATATGATTTCCCCTGCCGGTCCGCTGCTGGTGGCTGCACGGGGCTTCCCCCACCTCTCTGCAAAGCGGCGGAGGGTTCACCACTCGCTGCGCCATTCCCAAGTGACTCCCCCTCGCCAGACACAGTGCGGGTCCCGGCAGACCCGTCACAGGTGCATACTCCCAACCCAATCTCCCTCCTCTCTCCTCCTCTTCCCTTCGCCAGAGCCAAACTCCTCCCCTCCCTGCTGTGACTCAGTTCCCTTTCTTCCCCAACCTTATGTCCCGGTCCCAACAGACACCACCGCTTGAAACGCAATCCCCACCTTTTCCACTATTTTCAATGGGAAAATTGACCCCGCATAACATGTTTTCACTTAACACGATCATTTTCTGAAACATAGCTACAGTGCTAAATAAGGAATTACTGTACTTCAAATATTAAAGATTGAACCGAACCTGGGGCAATCCTTCCAGCACTGTGACACCTTGTGGAATGCTTGTATTGTACTTTGATGGCCTATGCATCAGTTGT